TGCAAATCTCCAGCCCCCGGAGTAACCAGCAGATCAAATTATTTAACAGCAACTGGCAAATCCATTAAAAATGACCAGACGGGTCCAGTGCTGGCCAGGAGGTAGCCCTGGAGCGGGGGCTGGGAATTCAGAGCCAAGCTCCGTGGCTGTAAGTCAGCTGCCAGCTGTTGAGAGCTGGTGAGGATGGGAGGGGGAGGGGAGGAATGGAAAAGGGGGGGGACACAGCATTGGTGAGAGATTCGACAGTAATCAGGGCCGCTGACGGGGCGGCAAAGGGCGCAGTAGGCCCGGCAGGCAACGTGTGTCCCCAGCCCTGATACTAATCGATCCCAGTGAACACTCCCTTGTCCCTTCGCAGGCTCAGAGCGCTCCACGCACCTGGGCGCGCCGACCTCTGGGCAGTAAAGTCCCTCGTGCAGGGTCCGTCTTTTCGTTGTGGGTTTGTGCAGCCCCTGGCGCGGTGGGGCCCTGCTCCCAGGTGCTTTGGTGACACAGATGAGGAAGAGGAGGGGAAGACCCACTATTGCCATATGCAGCAGTGATGAGCTCAAGGTGCAATTTCCCAATATTTTCCAGCAACCTCAGCTGCTCTTCCTCTCTGGGCCCTTCCCCCTCCACACGCCTCCAGACTCAGCCCCACTGAGTGACAGGGCAGTTCCCTCCTCTCCTCCCCCATGTCACCCTCGCTCTTCTCTGCTCTACCCACAGCAATGCAGAGGTGCCTCTGGTGGAGCCAATAGCGGGGCTTGGCATTTTGGTAGCCATTTTTTTCCCCATCTATGGGGGGACACAGGCTGAGGGGGCGGTGGGTGAGGAAGGACGTGCTCAGAAGGTGATTGCTGCAGATTTCACCATGATCTGCCCTCAGTCCCACAGGAGGCTGGAAGGAGCGAGCCCCGTGACACCAGCAGACACAAGGCTGCTCTGGCACATTCAGGGTCACCCGGCTTTGGAGGTGTCAGTGAGTCCCTGCAAGAGCAGCAGAGCTAAAGTGTCACCCCGGGGATCTCTCCCTGCTGTCAGGAAACGCCCCTGAGCCGTCACAGCACAAACATTGCTTCAACTTCGCTGAAAACTCTCCTGTTTGCTCCCGCGGGGACTTTCCATGCAAAGAGACAAACAAATGCTCCTCTAAGCAGTCGGACATTTTAGAGCTGGGTCTGCTGGGCTGCACGTCCTTCTCTGCCAACTGGTGACCCATCAATCATAGCACCTCTTTACTTCCTCTCTAATCGCTCTCAGAGTGGCCAAGTCTCACTCCCTTGAGTCCCTTGTAAATACTCAAATCCTTAGATCAACATGCTAGGAACTTCCTTCTAATCCTTAGTATTAATTCATTACACTTTGCGAATGCCATTCAGTGCACGTAAATAAACCCAAGTCAAGACGTGGCTGACAAAATCCGTTTCCTATAGATCTGAGCTGCTAACATCCATCATTTACTTATACTCTTCATAGTGATTCTTTTAAAATAAACACATTGTTTAAATGAATAGATTTCCCTACTTTAGGGCTACCGTTTTTTGTTTAAGTGACTGTGGACTATTGATTGAGAACAAATCTGGCAAATTGAATTTTGCTGATTATTCCCTGCCCAGATGAGAACATGGCATTAAGCATGCGTATTTTGTATCTGGAGTGTTGTTTGTTTTTCAGTAATTTATTTAATTTTAATCATTCCTGGAAGAAATTAATTCTCTCGTTGTCCTCTTCACAATGTAGATCATAAGACATTTACAAAATCACAGTAATTGCAAGGCTGAGCAGATTTTAAACAGATTTGATTTATCGCTGCTAAAGACAGTGTACAAAGCATCACACTTGTGTTAAGGTTCCAAACCTGACCCCTCAAGCTCTGCGATTGGAAATCCCTTGCTGGTGATTGTTCTAAATTGACACACACACTGAAAATACGGCATAATTGGCATTTGTTCTATTTTTGCGTGTATATAAGAATTAGGCAAACTGATCCGGTCCATTAATTTCTAAATTATCACCTGCAAAAAAACCAAAAGTTTTCAGGTGCCCTGTGGAACGGGATCCTGGTTAAAGCCCCTTCCCCAAAGAAATTGGAAATGGCACTGCTGTTGAGGGGTGATAGCATTGCTCTGTATCAACTCATGCAAAGAGAACTATCGGGGAGGGCAAGGAGTTATTTAAGTGAATGGCCAATGTGGACACAGAACCAAATGGCTATAAACTGGCCAGGAACAAGGTTTGCCTCCAAATTAGGCAAACGTTTCTAAGAATGAGAGGAGTGCGATTCTGGAAGAGTATTTCCAGGGCAGCAGTGGGGGTAAAAGCACCTGACTGGCTTCAGGAATGAGCTAGATACGTTTCTGCCTCTGATGGCACGAGGGCCATTGGCAACTGCCAGTAACAAAATTCCCCAGTGGCTGGAGACTGGACACTCGGCGGTGAGGGCTCTCCTGGGAAGGGGATGTGCTGGACACAGAGACGTCCCCCTGCCGCACTGTCCCACCCGCATGACCACCCCGTACCCCCATTCCGCCCGCAGGCTCCTGCAGGGTTGGAAATAGCACTGTCCGTGGAAGCAGGGTGTGGCAGACATGGAGGGAAAGCACTTCACATGCTGCCCTGCCCCACCAGCACAACCTGCCCCCAGCCAATCTCCCACCTGCAGAATTGTACCCTGTCTGGCCCTCAGTGTGCCTGCCTCCAGAGTGCATGAGTCCAGTTTTGCCCTTGTGTGCTCCAGCCCCGTGGGGACACAGCGGGGGAGAGAGGGGTGCTCTGCAATGCTGGGACCATGGGCAGACGGGACTCGGAACGATTCCCTGCAGGGGGCTTCTGACAGGAGCCGTGGCTGGGAGACTGCTCAATCCGTCACCGCTCGGCACAGATGCTCCCTTTGGACACCGCGGCCCACAGGCTGCTCACAGCCCTGCAGCCTCTTCTGGGGAGGGGCCGACCCTTCCCTGTCTCCCTCTACCAGCCACCAGCGCTCTCACTGGGCATGCTCAGAAATTGCCGTGTGCCCCCGTCCTGGGCAGAGAACCAGTGGGGGCTGCAGTCTGTTGCCCCATTTTGTCCTCGTGTGGACGGGGCTGGCTGGGAGTGTGGCCGGCCCGGCTCTTTCCAGCAGGGACATCTCAAAGACAAACAAATCGATAATGTGCCAGTGACGTTCCCTTCCCTATCTGAGTCGTGGGCCGGGCTGGTACAGCCGATTGCCCGGCTTCTAGTTGATTGCCTGTTGAACCTGCCGGGTGTGAGTTTGGCCCTGGCTGAGAGCGATCTTGTGCAGGCGGAGGCTGACGTTATGATGGCCCTAAAGCAGGGGTGGGCAATAATTTTTGATGGGGAGGGGCAGTCCAAGATTTTGGAAAGTGGTCAAGGGCTGCACTCCTGCATGACGTGAATGGAGATGTGGGGTCTGGGATGGAGGTGGGGTGCAGAAGGGAGCTTGGGGTAAGGGAGTCTGGGATGGAGTTGGGATGAAGCAGGCGGTTGTGACCTCGGGCAGGGGACTGGAGTGCAGGGGTTTGGGATGTGACCTAGGAGAGGAGGGGATTGTGATCTGGGGCAGGGGTGCCAGATGTGGGAGGGGCTGTGGGCGCAAGAGGGGGACAGAGGGTAGAGGTTGGGAGCAGAGCTGATCTCATAGACTCATAGACTTTAAGGTCAGAAGGGACCATTATGATCATCTAGTCTGACCCCCTGCACAGTGCAGGCCACAAAATCTCACCCACCCCTCCTAGAATAATCCTCTCACCTATATCTCAGATATTGAAGCCCTCAAATACTTTGAAGACCCCAAGATGCAGAGAATCCTCCAGCTGTGATCTGTACCCCATGCTACAGAGGAAGGCGAAAAACCTCCAGGGCCTCTGCCAATCTACCTGGAGGAAAATTTCTTCCTGACCCCAAATATGGCGATCAGCTAGACCCTGAGCATGTGGGCAAGATTCACCAGCCAGACACCCAGAAAGTTCTCTATAGTAACTCCTATCATCCCTCCATTGACCTATTTCCCACTGATAATGAATGGTCAATTAGTTACCAAGATCATGTTATCTCATCAAACCATCCTCTTCATAAACCCATCTAGTTTAATCTTGATCTGCTCAGTGGCAGCCTGCAGAGCCAGTGACCTGGGGGCAGGGAGCCCTGGAAGCAACTGCAGCTGCCTGTGGATCTCAGGAACCCGGGACCAGCTGCCGGCCCATCCCTGGGGCCGTGTCTGGCAGCCGGAGGAGCGTCCCCACTTTGAATGTAATTGATTTATATGGGATGGGGTTGGGGATGTGTGCCCATCCGCCATCCCTCCAGGGCCACAGACAGAGGCTGCTGCGGACAAGCACAAGAAGCCCCTGCCTGCGGCATGCGAGGGATGGGAGTAGTCTCTCCAGGCCTGGAGCACCCCCTGCCTGCACCCACTGTACGGGGGGGAAGCAAAGGAGAAGGAAGCAAACAATCGTAGTGAACACCTGGAGGGGGCGGGAGGTGTGGGCTGTTGTTCGCTGGGCATCCTTGTGTTCACAGTCACTGAACATCGATATTTCAGTAGCAGGGCGAAGCCTCAGGCTCATCGCACAAGGTGCTGCAGGACACACACAGCAAGTGACTGGGAAAAATGTCCAAATGCATCTACGGGGACAGATTCTGAAAGGCATTTCGGCAGACAGATGCAGACAGATGCCCAATGGGATTTTCAAAAGCACTTAGGGGCATCTGCAGACACCAAATGCCTGGGAACGTCTGGCCCTTGGGTTCCTGAGTGGCCCCGATTTTCAATGGAGTTTTGGTTCCCAAACCCAACATGACTTTTCACAACAAGACTCAGGCTCCAAGGTCACTTAGGTGCTTTGGAAAACCATTCCCGAAAGGACAAGCCCTACTTATCAAATCGTCACAATGGTATTTGCAATCTCCCCCTTCCTACTGAATTCATTACGCCCTGGGGAATCTTAGAAGAGGTGGATTCGGAGAGGTTCTGTCCTACCAAGTCACCGGCAGACAGAAAATGGCTGAGAGCTATGTGTTGTGCACAATTGATTTAGTCCCAGGTCCGTAAGGGCTTCATTCTGCTAATGCCGTCATTCGGTCTTCATTTGTTGCCTATGGACCACTGCCGTCTGGGCCCTGAATAAGAACCTTGTACGTGGTGGGGCAGTATGTTTTGAAGAGATTTTCCACTAAGGTGTTACTTCCTGCAACCACACGCTTGTGCTCCCGGTTCATGTGATTCCACAGATGCAGAGCGTAGGAGTTGTTGAACTCGGGGCTTTTCTCCCAGACCTCGAAGTACCGATGCCATTGTGCGCAGGGGATGGGGTAGAAACGCTGAGGGTGTAAGTAGGAAATATTCTGACAGTTTACATCCTCCACGTTATGGAAAGTGGTTACGGGGCACAACGCCTTGAGCCTCCTTGTCAGTAACCTGGGCCCTTGGTAGCCCCAAATGTCTCCTCTGTAGTTTTGAACAAAATCCTCCATGCAATCCCACATGAACTTGTGATGGCGAGAAAAGCCAAAAATGCCACTGCTGGACCACTGGAAATCCTCGGCCGTCAGGAAGTTTTCCAGCAAAATAGGCTTGATGGAGATGACATCCGTGTCCATATAGATCCCACCGTATTTCCAGACGAGTGCAAGCCGGCTAGCGTCGGAGGTGACAATAAGCCAGTACCTTTCCTGGGCTGGATTTGCCTGTAGAGTTGGGAAAGGATCACACAGATGCAATTAATTCCATTTCGAAACTTGTCAATACCTGCTCCTATTAGCTACGTACTGCATAAAACTCTCAGCCGTGTCTGTCCTAACTGTAATCCCTTTGTCAAATAATGGACGTTTTTCTTGTTCAGGCATGACACGGTGCTGGAAAAAGCCAAGAGCAGATGGAGCTTTTGTTCAATGTCATTGTATGAGTGTGTCCAAGGTAAAGAAAACACCCAACAATTACAACATAATGAGAATCTGAATCATAATAACATAACAAGGCCCATACTGGGTCATACTAAGTATCTAGCCCAGGAACCTGTCTTCAAACAGTGTCCAATGCCAGGTGCCCCCGACGGAATGAACAGAACAGGTAACCATCACACTGTAGGGACAGACTGTAGGGACACCATTCCTACCCCTCCTGGCTAATTGCAGTTGATGGACCTATCTGCCATGAATGTATCTAGCTCTTTTTTGAACCCTGTTATTTATAGTCTTCGCCTTCACAACATTTGGCCTTCACAACATTCTCTGGCAAAAAATACCGGTTGACTGTGCACTCGCTGAAGAAATGTTTCCTTTTGTTTGTTTTAAAGCAGCTGCCTTTTAATTTCTTTTGGTGACTCCTAGTTCTTGTGTAATGAGAAGGAGTAAATATCTCTTCCTTTGTCTACACCAGCCCTGTTAGTGGCCTCTTTCCCAAGCACAAAAGTACCAGTCTTATTCATGTCTTCTCATGCAGGATCTGTTCCATACCCATTATTGGTTTTATTGCACTTTTCTGAAGCTTTTCCAATGTCAATATAACTTTTTTGATATGAGGCAACAACATCGCCATGCTGTATTCAGGATTGGTGTATCTAGACTACAGGTTTTTTTTTAAAAAGTCGCCTTTTTTCGAACAAATTTCCCCTGTGTCTAGACTGCTGCTGCGTTCTTTTGAAAGTAAATCAAAAGGACATGGCAGTTTTTTCAGTCACGGTAAACATCATGTTACAAGGAATAATGCCTTTTTTCGAAAGTGCTCTTTCAAAAAAAGGCGCCATTGCATGCAAACTGTGCTTTCTTGAAAAATCTGCTGGTAGTCTTAATGCTTTCTTTTGAAAGAGGCTTTTTATTCTTTCAAAAAAAGCCCCTTTTGAAAGAGGATTGCAGTCCAGACGTAGCCGATGTGGGCACAGCATGGATTTGTATATTTTCTGCCTTACTAAATTCACTTTCCAAATCATTCCCAACATTGTGTTTGTTTTCTTTGACTGCCACTGCACACTGAGCGGATGTTGTCAGACATCTATCCACAATGACTCCAAGATCTCGCTCTTGAGTGGTAACAGCTAATTTAGTCCCCATCATTTTACTTGTACAGTTGGGATTATGTTTGGCAAGGTGCATTACTTTGCATTTCCCAACATTGAATTTCATCCGCCAATTTGTTGCTCGGTCACCCAGTTTTGAGAGATCCTTTTGGAGCGCTTCGCCATCTGCCTGGGACTTACCTATCTTGAGCAGTTTTGTAGCAGCTGCAGAGTTTGCCACCTCACGGTTGGCCATGATTTGCCAGTACATTTATGACTCTGTTGGATAGGTTTGGTCCCAGGACAGACTTTGGGGGGGACTCCAATATTTACTTCTATATTCTGAAAAGTGACCACTAACTCCTACCCTTCAATTTCTATCTTTTAACCAGTTACCAATCCATGAGAAGACTTTCTCTTTTATCCTTTGAGCATTTGCTGTACATAAGGGCCTTTGGTGAGGGACCTTGTCAATGGCATTCTGGGAATCTAAGTATCCACTGGATCCCCCTGGTCCACATGCTTGTTGACCCCCTCAAAGAATTCTAGTGGATTGATGATGCTTCGTTTCCTTTTACAAAAACTATGTTGACTCATCCCCAACAAATTATGTTCACCTATAGGTCTGGCAATATTTACACTATAATTTCAACCAAATAGCTGAGTAGTGAAGTCAGGATTATTGGCCTGTAATTGCTGGGACTGGCTCTGGACACTTTTTAAAAAATTGGTGTCACATTAGCTATCCGCCAGTCATTTGGTAGAGAAGTTGAATTAAAGGATAGGTTACAGGGCATCCCTGCTATAAGTTGACCCAGCATACATCCCTTCCCCACGAAAGGCGTTGACGCCTGTAGGAATCGATACCTTGTAAGTCCTCCCGTTCCCTGTTCTTAAGCCGTGTCAAGCCCCCCTCCCCAGTTTGCGGAAATGGAATGGAAAACAATTCCCCGCTTTCAGTTGTTTTGCTATAAAGCCAAGATTCTTGGTACATCTGTTGGACGTACAGCGAGGACAGCCTGTACAAGGTACAGCAAATGGCACCTTAAAGACTAATGGATTTATTGGCCATAGGCTTTTGTGGGCAAAGATCCGCTTTGTCAGATGCATCAGCTTGTCCATGAAAGCCTCTACCCAGATGGATCGGTCTGTCGCATTGACTTTGCAACAGGCCCCTCCTGGAAATTTGTACAGAGCATAAAGAGTGAGAGAGGAATTCAGCCCTTGGGCAATGCGGGGGGGCAGAAGGGGGAGAATGGGTGTATCAATAGCGCACTCTGATGCTTGTTTATTCTCCAGACTCTCCGCTTTCATTTCCCCTTCTCACTGACAAAGGGGAACAGCCAGCGACATCTGTGTACACACTGGGGAGAAGAGCTTGTGCCCAGATATTTTCATGCCTGTCAAACGCCCTCAGCAAGCAGTGAAGTCGTGTTTCCCAAACAGCAAATCCTAAGAACATAAGAACGGCCGTACTGGGTCAGACCAAAGGTCCATCTAGCCCAGTATCCTGTCTACCGACAGCTTTTTAAAAAATTGGTGTCACATTAGCTATCCGCCAGTCATTTGGTAGAGAAGTTGAATTAAGGATAGGTTACAGGGCATCCCCGCTATAAGTTGACCCAGCATACATCCCTTCCCCACGAAAGGCGTTGACGCCTGTAGGAATCGATACCTTGTAAGTCCTCCCGTTCCCTGTTCTTAAGCCGTGTCAAGCCCCCCTCCCCAGTTTGCGGAAATGGAATGGAAAACAATTCCCCGCTTTCAGTTGTTTTGCTATAAAGCCAAGATTCTTGGTACATCTGTTGGACGTACAGCGAGGACAGCCTGTACAAGGTACAGCAATTGGCACCTTAAAGACTAATGGATTTATTGGCCATAGGCTTTTGTGGGCAAAGATCCGCTTTGTCAGATGCATCAGCTTGTCCATGAAAGCCTCTACCCAGATGGATCGGTCTGTCGCATTGACTTTGCAACAGGCCCCTCCTGGAAATTTGTACAGAGCATAAAGAGTGAGAGAGGACTTCAGCCCTTGGGCAATGCGGGGGGGCAGAAGGGGGAGAATGGGTGTATCAATAGCGCACTCTGATGCTTGTTTATTCTCCAGACTCTCCGCTTTCATTTCCCCTTCTCACTGACAAAGCCAGCGACGTCCCTGTACACACTGGGGAGAGGAGCTTGTTCCCAGACATTTTCATGCCTGTCAAATGCCCTCAGCAAGCAGTGAAGTCATGTTTCCAAACAGCAAATCCTGCCTTTGAATTCATGCTGCCTGAAATGTTTCAAATACAATGTTTGTATCGACCTCTTGCCTTTCTGGAAAAGGGGTGATTCACCATTTGGAGAAAATGTGGTTATCGAAATTATGATAGGAATGGTCCATTTGCCATATCTCCCGCCACCAGGAAATGGACAGTGCCCATAACAATTTCACTAAATAGTTTGACTAATACAGGGCATAGTGTCATGAAAAGGGGTCCACACTGGGTGCAGCAAAACGACGACAAGCTTCAAAACTTGAACAAAAATGTGCCAAGCCTTTCATTTCCCTCCAATTCTACATGAATGTTGTTCAAAAAATATTCCCCCCTTAATATGCCTCCTCACCTTACGATACCATGAGAGCAGAGGTGTGTCCTCGAAAAAAGCTTCTGTCTGGAGCGGAAGAAGGAAGACATTCTTCATAGCAGACAGAGACGATAAGGCTTCCTCGAAAAAAGCTTCTGTCTGGAGAGGAAGAAGGAAGACATTCTTCATGGCATACAGAGACGATAAGGCGGCGGGCATGGACTCTGAATCCAGCGATGTGTTATTGTTCAGCCCTTTCATGAAGAAACGAATGGGTTTGTCGGGGTAGATCCTGGCAGCAGATTCCACAGAACATGAAACCAACGGAGGAGGCTCCAGGCGGTCTGTGGTCTCCACAAAGATGATGCCGCTCTCCCGGCTCATGACGTCCCTTTCTGTCAGGAACGGCTCAGGACTCCGCTCACATGAGAAGAGGCAGCCAGGCGGCCGGGAACGTTTATAGACAAAGGCCAGGGCAAAGAGAAGAGTGAGCCCGAGCCCTATTTTCATTTTCTTAAACATTCTTGCTTGTCCTTGGACAGATGAGTCTTAACCAAAACAAAGAGTCAGAGTTAGCGGTTCATTGACTATCGATGGGAGACAAATACAAGAAGACAGGATTTCAAGTGTTATTATTACTTTGGATTATTTCTAGGGCAGATAAAAAAAATCCGATTTTTTTTTAAATTTAAATTGGATTTTTTTGATTTTTTAAAAATCCTCAATAAAATACCAAATTTTGTATTTGAAAGTAACAGTTACAATTACGCCTCATCACAGACATGTTGCGCTCACACTGACAGTCTCATAAAACAGGAATGACTGGCTCTTGTCTGCCCAGCCTCACTACCTGCTCTTGCTTCTTGAGAGCCCTCGGCTTACAATTTCCATTTGTCAGCAAACTACAGTGACAAGTGCAAAGGCACACAGGTCGGGTCGGATTGGTTTGTTCTGTGCTTACATGGTGGCTGATCTTGGGGCAGAGGAGTTAGTTAAGACTTTGTCTTAAAGGCAGAGAGACAACAGAGATAGAAAAAGGACAGAGGCAACATAGAAAGGAACTGTGGATTGACTGGAAGGAAAAAGAGAAGGCATTGTTCAGGACACTCACAGATTTCTCTATTCCCTCCACACTTTCGCTACAGAAAAAAACTTTCCTGGCTCCAGCATGTAAAAGAGACCCGCTTTGGGAACATTTTGAAACATTCCATTCCCTGGGGAAAACGTGTCAACTGGAAGCAAGGCAAGAAGAAGATGCGGGGGCTTATTCTGAGACTGAAACATCAGAAGGAAAATTGTTCACTGGGAGAAAATGTCGTGTCTGAAGATGTGGATAAGACAGAGACGATCAACTGGCGAGTCTCGTAAGTAATTCACTCTGCAATGCTTCATTGCTCAGGACTCTCTTTATAGTTTTAGTATAAATGTGAGTTGACAAGTAAACTCCCAGGTTTTTTGCTGTGTTGGGTGTTGCTAGAAAAAGAGATTTAGCTTTGCTCATCCTTATAGCTTGTTAAATTACCACCCAAGCACACAGTGCAGGAAGCTGCAGTAAGAGAAATCTATTTTACGTAAGACAGGCCCGGGTGAAATAAGATATGCAATTTTGAGTTTAGGGTGCTGTGTACATGCACCCTTAGAAACTAACAGATTTCTTAGGGCATAAATTTTTGTGGGGAAAACCCACTTCATCAGGTGAATTGGAGTGGAAGTCACAGAGACAGGGCACTATATAAGGACAACAAAAGGAAAAAGTTGCGTGTGTTAGTGAGGCTAATCAAGTCAGGATGGAAGTGGCTCATTCACAGTTGACGTGGAGATGTGGATATCAGGAGAGGGGAAAATTGCCTTTCTGCAGAACCTCGGTGGATCAAAAGTTGCTGCATGAAGGAGGGAGAATTGCCCCTATGTCTGGACTGGCCAGTATTTCAGGTATGTTCCCTGTGGTTGGGCCATTTGACTGCTTGTTACTAGTGCATCTCCATTATAGACGGGTCTCACAATGCTCATGAGCCAGCCAGAGCTTTGTGAACAGCAGCCTGTGCTGAAGGGGCCACTTGTGTTATCTTGAGGATAAGGCTGTCAGGCTACGTCTACACTGGAAAGTTTTTGCGCAAAAGCCCGTGGAGCGTACACACCTCAAATGCACTTTTGCACAAGGAAATCAAGAGTAAAACAGCAGAACAGAGGGTATTTTCTGCCATAACTAAACCTCCTTTTACGAGGCATAACTCCCTTTTACGCAAGAGTTCTTCACGTGTGCTTTTACGCAAGAGCTTTTGCGATGTGCTTTGAGGTGTGGAGGTGCTCTTGCGCAAGACGTTTTTGTGCAAGAACTCTTCCGCAAAAGACTTTTTGCGCAAGAAGCATGTAGTGTAGGCATAGCCTAAAAGAGAAAGCCAGACCTTCCTGGATTCCATTCCAGTGTCTAGCATGAGGGCAATTGTTGGCAGTTGTAGATTTGAGGTGTCTGCATTAACCATCTAAATATTCGCTAAGCCTGCAAATAAACTGAGTACATTGTACTTCTACCACAAGGAGATACACCTGAATTGATTTGTCTGCAACATATCTTCTTAATGAATTAATCAGATCAGAATACAAAGTACCAGGTACTGCACACCTATTATAAGACACAGAAGAACATAATATGTTGGGGAAGAGTCAACATGGCTTTCTGTAAAGGGAAATCCTGCCTCACCTATCCAGTAGAATTCTTTGAGGAGGGTCAACCACCACGTGGACCAGGATGATCCAGCAGAGATAGCGTACTTAGATTTTCAGAAAGCCTCGGACAAGGTACCTCACCAAAGACCCTTAAGGGCTTGTCGTGGATCAGTTCCTGGTTAAAAGACAGGAAACAAAGGGTAGGAATAAATGGTCTGTTTTCAGAGTGGAGAGAAATAAATATCAGGTTCCACCTGAAGAATCTGTCCTGAGCCCGATGCTCTTCAACACATTCACATGTGATCTGGAAAACCAAGGCAAACCATGATGTGGCAAAGTTTCCAGATAATACACAATCAATCAAAATATTAAGTCCAAAGCAGACTGAGAAATGTTACAAAAGAAACTCACAAAATGGGGTGATGGCAGAACAAATTGGCAGATGCAAATCAGTGTTGATATGTGCAAAGAAACGCCCATTGTCACACATAATCCTCACTATACATGGAATATGCTGAGGTCTAAATTAGCTATTGCTACACAGGAACAATTGTGGAGTCATTGGGGAGCGTTCTCTGAAATCATCCACTTAATGCGCAGCAGCGGCCAAAAAAATTAAATGATTTAACCTTAGCTGCCTGTTATTTTTTTTGGCTGCTGCTGCGCATTGTTACATAAATCCATGATTTGGCCTATGCCCTCAGCCTGAATACTGCCGGCAGTTGAGTTTGCCCCATATAAAAAAAATAGAATTGGGACAAGGTTCAGAAAAGGGCAAGAAAAACAATTAAGAGTCCGCAACAGCTGCAGCATGAAGAAAAACTGGGGACTGCTCAGCTTAGAAATCATTTTACCAAGGCGGGATATGATAGAGGAGGAGAAATTCATGAACATGTGGAGAAAGTGAATAGAGAAATGTTGTTTAATCCTCCACATAATATAAGAATCAGGGATCTCCCAATGCAATGAATAGGCGGCAGGTTCCAAACAAACCAAAGGAAGGACCTTTCCCCCCAACATCCAGGCAGCCTGTGGAGTTCATTGCCGGGGACGTGCACAGGCCAGAAGCAGAGCTGGGCTCACAAAAGAATTAGGTCGGTTGCGGGAGGGCAGGTTCCTCACTGGCTGTTGGCGAAGCGGGACCAGAGGGGAGCCCCGTGCTCGGAGGCGCAGGGACACGTGGGCTGCCCCAAGCTGGGATGGGATGACAGGACCCCTCAGCGATGCCTTGCTCTGCTCCTGCCTTCCGACGCACCTGGCACCACCAAGGCGGGGTCCCAGGATGCTCCACTCACCTCTTGTCTGGCACCTCCCGCCGCTCAGCCTGAGGTTTAGCGGTCGAGGACAATGTTTCCTTCCACCTATTGCCCACAGTCACTCCATCCCTCCTCTTGTTTCCTGCCCGCCAGCCCGGTCCCACAGCGCTCCCCCTGCCAGGGCGCAACTCGTCCAATCTCTCCCTCCCACAGTGACCCAAGGGCTCTGCTCATTCGCTGCCCTGCTGGGGCCACTTCCCCAGGGCTGGGTGGGGGGACGTTCAGCCCAGCAGCTCTGTTCTTTCCTCTCCCCGCCCTCACTGCCTGCCCTGCCCGGCTTCCTACAGCTCCTGGTTCTGGTTCAATCCGCTCCAGACGCTCCTCCCTCTATCCAGGGTGTGACCGCCCTGTATGGGCAGCAGCCTCTCTGGTGCAAACTTTTTTGTTGTATAGACCTAGCCTATTCCTGCTTACATGAGCCTGCTTGCACTCAGTTGTCTGCTCCTGGGCTCTTCCTCAAAGTGTGGGCTGTAGAGTTAATCCTATTGCTTTGTAATCTGTGTTGGGTGGATGCCCTATCGCAGACACTCCCCGCTCCAGATGGCTCCCCGTGGGAGGGGCAGGTATCGTCTCCTCTGCCTCTGACATAGCTAAGCCCAGAGACCCCCCCCCTCCTGCCCAGTGTCACCCACCCCCAGCCCAGGGCATCTCTTCCTTTCTTCCTGCAGGATTCCGGGTCATGCAAAGCCACCAGAAAGGCCCCTGCCCCCCTGTCTCTCCTATCAGGGGCAGGCTGTGCAGGTAACAAACCTACCTGGCTACCAATCCTGCGTGAGTGGACACCCCATGGCAGTCGGAAGACCGGGCTCTGGGCTACATGCTCTGACCTAGAATGGCTGCTCTTATGTTCTTAAACTTCATCAGAATTCTCCTGGGAGCTCCCTGCAAGCTCTGGCCTATGGGTGGAAATTCAGCCTCTGCCACGCTCGAGAGGGAAACAACTAGATGGGAGGTTGTTGGCTCTTTGCCTGCACACGCCGGGTTTCCAGAGCTAGGGCAGGCCGATAATACACAATTCTGAGCTGTAAAAACACTGTAACGGGGCAATTTCCTGCAAGATCCTGGTCAAACCTGACTGGACGGAGTTTCTGTTTTCATGGTGGGCTGGGGGAGGGGAGCAGAGTCCTGCGCTGGTAATTTCACACCAATACGCCCCGGCGT